GCCGTCTCCACCGAGTACGGTCCACTCTGGTTCGATGACAGGGCCGACTCCTAAAGCAACGAACCCCCGCCCCAAATGCTTCCTTGAAAGAGAGAAAACGTTCACCCCAAGTAAATTTCCAGTTGTTCCCATCCTCTCTTGCCCAAGGTAAATTCGACGAAAAGCATAAGAGGTGATAGAGAATGAAAAACCATTTGGATAGGTATAGGTAGATCAGATCATTCGGGGTAGAAAGGGTTAATCATCGGGAAAAGGCTAAGTTTATTTGACATTATCTGCTTTATTTCAACCGAATTCGTTCTACGGTGCTCACACAATTAACATTTTTCAAAACAACCAAAACCCTTCTTGGCATGCATGCAGGTGAGAAGTAAAAAGAAGACGATCCTTTTCCCTTTTTTCAAATAAGCATAATCAATCTCCTTTGCAAACATTCTTCTTCTACCTACCTGCATACATAAAAAACAACCACTGGTCTAGAAAGTCCAACCCATACTCTGTCAGATCCCACTTTTCCCATGCATGACCAACACACACTTTACTCAACCTTTCTTCTGAACGTTCAAAACAAACAAGGCCAAGCAAAGTGTGGGTTCACACAGGTGTGAAAAGGAATCTGAATCAATCAACTGACCTTTTGTGAAGTAGTGCCGACGCGCTTGGCTCACTAAAGAAAGCCAAGTAAAATATACTAGTCGTCGAAGAAGATCACAGTCCCAAGGCAAGTCTCAGACCGTCCAATGGCCTCAATTCACTCTCCACTTGCACGTCCCTGCACGCGGTAGCCCCAAGTGTGAAAACAACGAGCCGCACACACTCCAAAAAAATATCCATGGGTCCCACATCAGTCCCAACTGGTCCATATGGCCCCGCACTATTTCTTCCAGCACCTAAAAACAACGCCCACCAAACCACTTCCACCAAGCCTTACAAAAAAAAAAAAGCCCACGAGTGTCGATTCCGTCGGCACCACCCATCCTACTCACATGCCTCGCCAACCCCAAAAGATCCCACTAGGCCAATGCCAATGGCCTTGCTATGGCCGACACGCACACACAAAAGCGGCACGTCGTTCCGCCTTGACAAGCATGGTCGAACCGACAGACGATCGTTGATACCTCTAGTGTCGCCTATCGTACCGCCGCAATAGTCACGCTGCAATTTTCCCCCTTCACCGACGTTGACGGCGAACCCTTTGACGCACCAAAAATATCCAGCATTCTCCCTCCACTTAGTGCTGCCCGACGAACCGCAATTTTGGCAGCATAACGCTGCAAAAATGATTGACGTTGACACCGAAAAAAATCAGCAACATTTCCCCACAGAAGTGAGAAAACAACCTGCAGAGGTTCTGTCCGCCTACACCACCACCAATGACATCCAGAAGTCCCGCTACTGCCACTTAAAACCACCATCAAATTAATAAAATTTGGGCCCTGGACAAAATCCAGGGCCAAAACACCCTTCTGTCGTGCCGCCTTGGTCCCGCAAAGTCCCAGTGCCGCTCCACAAGACCAGCACCAGCCAGAGGGAAGTGGTGCAGAGTGCTCCCTACCCCGACTATGGCTGCCCTGCTCCTCTCGCGCTCCACTGCAGACCTCCAGCCTCCTCCCACGTTGCCTCTCACAGCTCCTCCAGCAGCCCAGCAACACTCAAGTGTGCTTGCCAGACATTGGCAACACGAGTGCTTTGGGGACAGCTACCTGTTTTATAGTGGTTGAAGAGGGTTGGACATCACTCCAGCCCCCAATCAAAATCGCGGGCTCACAGTGAGCCCTTGATCTGGCCAAGATCAAAGGTTAATTGTCGTCGTACGACAACCCCAAGCTTAGTGGGCGCATTTGCTTTAACTGCCCAACTTCTATTCATCTTTTCTTTTCCTAAACTATCTCGGAATTTCACGAAATAGTTGAGGACCTGGCATTTCCAAAACTGCTTTTCTTTTATTTTCCTGATAAGAGGTTGCAGAGATACAACCCCTTTCAGTTTGATGTATCTGGACCCATTTCCCTGGGCAGAAACATCCCGAAAAAAGGTTGTACTTAGCTTTTTCCTCTATGACCCTTCAATTTTCAGCCTGACATTTACGTCTCGCAGTTTCTGTCTGCCAGAGGTAGCACCTCGTGAGGACACCCAGAGGCAGAATGCACGAAAAAACAAAGAAAAGCAACCGAAAGGAAAAGAAAAAAACTAATCCTAACTGCACGCGCTTGGCCCCTACGTCAGCCAGGATCATGTTGTTGACACCAACAACATTCCCTCCTTACTTTTCTTTGCTCTCTCCTGACAACGGGGAGGGCAGTTGGCCGGTTTGGAGGAGGAGGTCCTCCCCCTCCCAACCACTTCGTTTCCTCTCTCCCTCTCCCTCTACTTCTTCACCTCCCACGCGCTTATCGTGGGCCGCGAGATCCAAAATCTTGCGGCTACGAATAATCGTGCCAAACGACGTGGGAGCCTTCCATGCTCCCACATAACAAAAATGGTTGTATTCCAACCGTGAGGCATTGTTGCCTCGTTTCTATTTCCCTCCCCGTTTTCTCAATTTTCATGCCCTAATGGCCACGAGACAGAGGAAGGGAATAAACAGGACAAAAAGAAAAAGAAAAAAAACAAAACAAAAAAAAATGAAAAGCAGCAACTACTTACCTGTACATCCCCTCCTTCGACTATTGAAACACAAGCCCGAGTTTGAAACCAAGCCGAACGAGGTGGGGCTAGTGTATGTTCTGCCTGAAGATTCATTCGGATTTCGCTCAACCTATCCTTCGGGGTAGCGTGGGGCTATCTTGTACAAGTTGGCGACTCCTTTTCCCTCTCTCTCTCTGTCACACACACACACACACACACACACACGCACACACTAATAGTTAGTACATCCATCCGCATTATAGGTGTAGATTCAATCGATTTTGCTCAACCTAATCAATAGGAATGATATGGTTAAGGCTTTTCGCCCGTTCGTTTTCGACGAACGGGCGTTTTAGTAGCTCGTAGGAGGGGGGAATCTAAAAAGGAAATAAATCAAAGAACCTCAAAAAAAGAACCTAATAAACGAATCTAAAAACAATAAAAAGAAAAACCCGACTTACCAAAAACAGCCTCACGCCATAGAAAACGGCGTCTGTTGGTCTCTTTGGGGATACGAAATCCCTTGCTACTTCTTTGAGCGCCATGACTTTGTTTGCTTTGTTTTTTTTTATTTTTTATTTTTATTTTTTTATCTAACTCCGTTGGCTTAGGCCAACGATCACTACAACTGCGTATCATAGAGCCCCCCCATTCTTCCTTTGAAGCTATGGACTCAAGTTCGATCCCCGTCGGGGATTGATTTTTTTTTTTTTTACCATTTCTCGATTTATGCGTGTCATCCTTGCTTTAGCCGCGAGGTTGATTTCGACCGTGAGACCTCGTTGATCTCACGGTCGAATTCGATCGTATCTTACTGCCTTTGGCCGCAAGGTAGTTCCAACAAAAGGAGCTATGCCTAGTAGGGCATGTTAGATTCGATCGCAGTATCCGTGGCGTATCAAACTAGCATGTTACCTGCTGGGCTAGCTCCTACTACGAGGATAGTAGGGGCGGTTCAGGATCGGCTCCCCCCTGTTATGCCGCAGCCGCACACCTGGCGAGGCGGTCCTTATGAGTCATTTAGGCTTTGAAGCGCGCAGCTGGATAAAAGTTAAGACTTAGTATTCCAACGCCTGTATGCCCCTACATCCTCACCAGACGAGGCTGGTGACCGATCGCATCGCCACTGTAGCATCCCGTAGGCATTTGGATTTTAGCAAAATTTTCAGTCTCTCAGTCGTAGGTCCTGTTTGAACGAGCTTTGACAGATACCGCAATCTCATCAAGTCGTATCATCCAATCGAAATTTTATCATCAATTGGACATTTGTCCGACATTGAAAATCCCGGGCAGATACTCTTGTCAGCGTTTCTACCCCGACAACACTATCCGCAAAAGCAGCGGAACTCTGCAACAGGGAAAGTTGAGAAATCTAGGATGTTGAGCAAGCTCTACGCAAAGTCCATGCGATGCATCCTAAGCTACATAATGTCAAATGAAAAGCAAATGTCTTGTATACACGTCCTAACTAACACCACAAAATAAAACATGGCAAGATGGAATCCTAAAGTCCTAAAGCGAATTGCCTCAATACTGATAAGAAGAGATAGCAAAACTTCACAAGGTAATGTTGTGTCGTTGAACCACTAAAAGTGGCACGGTTTGAGGGGATGAATGCAGCCTAAGAATCGAAACTCCTAAGGGCAGTCACACACGAAGGTGGGGTTGGTCATCAAGCTCAAGGTGGGGGAGCTGTAGCGAAGCAAAACCAATGACCGTAACAGATAGACATTAAGGTGGGTAATGCAGGGTCGACCATGAAAGGGGAGCCTGGAATAGGGTGGACATATGCCTAACTGAAGGATGCAGTGGGTGCGTGAGACATGCACACAACTCACTGACTCGGGAAGGGAGCTAGATCTTGGAGCAGGGAAGCCAAGATAATGCTATGGTCCCAATGTCTGTGCGATACCAAGGGAGAGCCCAACTTAGAGAGACCCAGTTAAGTGAGAACCATCATGCAACACATACAAGGGAATGTATAGGGTAGCGTGGTCCCGTCAAGTAGTCACGCCCAGAGTAGTTGAAGTCGATAAGTCCTCGAAGTGGTCGATGACATTAATGAAGGAGTAGAGTTAATGTCGAAGCAGAGCCGCAAAACGCTGACATCCTGAAGATGCAGTTGATGGAGTACCCGAAGGTGTGATTCAGTAGGAAGATAGTAGGTGATCAGTGTGTCAGTCGTCGAGACACTAGGGGCGTCGATGAGTTGGATGTGGACGCCCTGAGACGTCCGTCTGCTGTTGAAGAATGGCCTCAGAGAGAACGGGCTCGTCCTCAGCAATCTCCTCAACCAGAGGCGGAGGAAGGGGGTCAATCGGGTGAGTAGGAGCCGATGTCTTAGCATGACGAACACGATCATATGCACGCACCGACATCCGGGCATGCTCCAAGTGCTCGAGGGGCTCCCAAGTAGCCTCCTCGTCAGGATAGCCCTTCCAACGCACAAGGTACTCGATGCGTGAAGGGGTATTGTCAAAAACACGGCGAGATACAATCTCGAAAACGACGAACTCCTTGTGACCATCCACCATCATAGGTGGAGGGCGCTCATAAGGACGCTTGGGGAAGCGGTTGGAGGGTCTGCGATAAGGACACAACAAGGAGACGTGGTAAACATCATGTACTCGAGTCTGTCGAAGGTAATCAAGTAGCTTCACACGGAAGCAACCCGCACTGGCTGCATTATTAGAGTCGGGGACCTAAAGGATGCGATGTCGAGCGCATCAGTCCCGCAGGGGAACCCTCCCGGCCGCGTCACACCGGATTTGTCGCAAGACTTTATCCTTTATCACGGTGCAAATGAGCTTCAGTCGCCGCTCCGACCGAGTGCGCGAGCCATACCTTTCGCGAAACCCTACGACAGGATAGAGCCACGCGAGGTACAACTTATCTCCACCTGCTGGAGTTGTCACCATCCCTTAGTGGGTGTATCCTCGCCAAACTACCGAACCACATGCGAAAGGTAATCGGTTGCAATTGTAGAGGTGGTCCAACTGAGGGCATTTCTCGTACGATGTAGCATATGGGGTACGCACGGTCCCACGCCCCTATCGAACCAGTATGCGAACCGACGCATTGTGGGGCTGAAGCCCCAAGTGCGACTTCTTGTCGGTCGACTAGGACGCATCCTTCTTACCACGGGTTACGCCACGCTAAAAATATTAAATCAAAATACACTCACAAACAAAACACTCCTAGTCCATTCGTTATCCGACCCATAACCTTTTGACAAAGAAAATCAGTTAGGCGTCCAATGAGGACCCGAATAAATATCGCGCGGATGATCATGCATGCTCATATTGACTAGCCATGCATGCTTACGCAAGCAATCGCAATGATTGTGTACTATGTAGTACCCATAATCACGTCGTCCTTAGTGGTCTCTAGGATCACATTCGACACTCAAGTGTCGGTTGACACGCGCCTTGAGGGGTTAATCTCTCGATGTTAGACAACCGCCAAGGTCGTTGAGAACCAGACCCTCTTCTCCACCCTACAGAGAGTGGGTGGTACACAGGTTCCGGCTTGTTGTGGCAGTCAGGCTTAATCGCCCTAGAAACAGGCTCCATCCTCCAATGCCTGGAGAGAAGTCAAAGGGTTTGACTTTGACGGTTGCCACAGACTTAAATGTCCAACTGTAATAATTCTAAGAAGCAAGGGGCAAAAAGGGGTCTCCCTTTTCTCTCAAACGCAAAATCCGCTCAACCCTCGTACGATCTCAAAATATGGCGCGCGAACATTTAGGTTATACATATATAGAGGCTTATAAACCACGAGACGTTCACTTCCCATAATCACAGTGGGACTCCCTTCAACCATATATATGTGATCGTAGGCAATCAAATCCAGAGTCCGAACCAACAAACATACCTGCAATCATATCAAAGATTTAGCCAAAAAAAAGTCCACACACTACACAGGGTCAATTTCAACCACTCTCTGCGCTCACACCCCTCGCTTTAGCCACACAAGCCCCAACCTTTACCTAACCTTCCATAATGATATGCTTAGTAGCTTTGTTAAATGACCATTCAATAAAGTCTGGGTGAAAACGCAACAAAATAATTTTAACCAACATTGTTAAAACCTTTCGGTTGAGAGGCGACAGTGAACTGGAATTGAATAGTAAACCCACGAATCGACAACCGACCTGTTATCACTGATAACAAAAGATGATCCTCGTGGGATCAAGCATCGACTAGTCCAATCCTAAATTGAAATCCTAAAAAAGGACCTCTTACACAAGACAGACCAGTCCCTAGGTTAAGCTTATAAGTGCATGGAGAATAATCTTCACATCACGTTCTCTCGCAAAATCTTCCAATAACTAGGTCCAAGTCTACCTCTAAGCAAGTGTCAAAAAAAAAAAAGATGTTTTGTTGCATTTCCCCTACACAGCGTGGATCGCCAGAATCTTTCCTAACATCATATAATCTAACTCCTCTAAACTAAGGAAATTTCGACAGCGCTTTTCGTAGAAAAGTACTTTCTCATAGTTTATACTCGTCCGAATATGAAAATTGAAATGGTTCTCAACTCTAAAAAGTCAAATTTGATCAACTCCCTGAATTAGTAAAAATTTGGGCAACATCTCGTTTAGACTAGTAGACTTCCCAGATTCATATTAAGCTAGATAAAAACTCGAAATGAAACTTAAGTTCTTGCTAAGAGAAAATCTAAATAACTCCTTAGATTTGTAGAAATTTTGGCAATGCTTCCCGTAGAGAAAGTAGCTTTTCAAAATTTATACAAAGCTAATTCAGACTTCCCAAAGTCAAATTTTGTCCAACTCCCTAAATTAGCACAACTTCGGGCACCACTTCCCCTGAAAAAGAAGGCTTTTTAAATTTCTACTAGGCCAGATATAATTTACACAAAAGTTGGACTTTTTGAAAAGCCAAAATTTGACTACTCCTTGGATTTGTAAAAATTTTCGCACCGCTTCCCGCAGAGAAAGTCACTTTCTTGAATTTATACAAAGCCAAGTAAAGTAAATGATCCCAAAAACTGCGAAAACTTGACTAAGTAAAATAAAGTTAACTTAAAAAATGCAGGAATTGAACTAACTCGTACAGCTCTAGCACGTGGCGAGCAATTAAAGCAACTACCTATCAAATTGAAACTCATACCAAGTAGAGCTCACATTCAGCCACAGGCAAGTCCATACCACCGTGGGTAAGTACTCTCATCAAATCTCAAGTCAATTCCAAATGATTTATCCCTTGTACCCAGCTTACATATATGGACAGGGGGCTGAGCAATTCAACTTAGAAACAATGCTCAGCTTGCCTAAGTTACTTCCAATTATACTCCTTACTTTCCCTTCTTTTCACGATGATATGGCTTAACGCAAAACCATTCAGCTTAGAAACAATGTTCAGTTGTCAGTTCACATGCAAATATAAGTAAAAATACTTCCAATTTATACTCAATTTACTCTTGTAAGTGGTTTCAGGCTAAACCATTCAGCCTAGAAACAATGCTTAGCCTTCCACCAAAATCCTCCCTCGAAATGAAACAAGTAACTCAACCATTCAGCTTGTAGAAACAATGTAAAGTCAGCCTTCCACCAAAATCCACCCTCGAAATGAAACAAAGAACTCAACCATTCAGCTTATAGAAACAATGTTAAGTCCATCCAAAATCACTCAAAAGCATAAAGTTGGGCCTTTCAACCAAACCTCATTGAGAAACCCCAAAAGAAACAGACAGACCAAACCATTTAGCTTAAAAACAATGCTTGGCCCTGAAGATCAATCACACAAGCCCTCAAAAGTAAACACAGCAATTAGACCATTCCACTTAGAAACAATGTCTGATCCTTCATAAAACAGCCAATCAACAAAGCATTGGGCCATTCAGCTTAGAAACAATGCCCAACCTTAAAGACCCGATCAATCGCACGCATAACTGTCTTCTTCCACCTTCCCCCAGTTCATCCCTTAATTTGCTTTCAATCAAAAATAAAAGAAAACTTGAGATTTACTCATACCTTCCTTCCCTTTAATCTGATTGAGTTCTGAAAAGAAACAAATTTATAGGGGAACACACACATACACATCAGACAGACTAAAAGGAGATAGTCAAATAGAGATATAGTGGGTTCATACAGGCAGAGGAAGGTATACCTCACAATTCCCTGCCTCCAGAACCTCGCCTAGGTCTGAATAAAGCGCCCGCAATCGGTGGGGCAACCTCCCACAAAGGCCTTGGCACGGATTACGGGTTGCAATCCCGCTTACCGCGTTCCTCTCAGAACAAATAGACCAGATTTATAGTACGAAGGACAGAGGAAGGAAGATTAGTCACTCAAATTCAAGAATGGTGCGCTGAGACTCGCGTGAGAGGGCCTTGAATCCTTCAGACGGCTGAGGGCCCCGCAATGGTACCCAAAAACACAGTGGAGGTGGCTAAACCTTGGTCAACGTGCGGAGTCGCGGCCTCCTGACAACCCTCCAAATCGTTGTAATGACCCCCTTATTGATGCTTAGTCACTCCCCCAAGCCACGATGTGGCTTCCTCTGACCAAACCAGATATGCAGCCTAGAAAGCCCACATTTGAACATGGCACGCCCGTTCTGCTCTATTCCAAAGTCGTTGTGACAGCCTCGCACCGCCCGTAGCAAAACCGAGGCTCCAGTCCACTTATTTGGTGGCGGTCGAGTTTTGCGTTAACTGCAGTCCGCATCACAGCAATAGTGGAACACGCGAGTTACACAGTGCCCCACAGCAGACACAACAGTAAGGCCATGTAAAAGCCCCGTTTACTCAGCTAAATGCATAGCAAGGTGCATGATCTGATGTGTAAATGCCGCAACCTCGAAACCCAGGTTGTGGCCCAATAGCATAGTCTTGGCCGATCTGAAGTGAGATAACAACGCTGATCATCAGTCGCAGTGTGGCCAGCCGTATCAATCAACATGCATGTCGCTGTAGGTTGTGCAGACCACCACTAACGCCTATTGGATGATGCCTACACAATCCCAACATGGTCTGGTGCATCGGCCCACCCAACAAGCAACGAATTACTCCCGCGTACTAGACAAATCATCACGCTGCCCGAGTAACGAGCGAGTTTTACTACTGTGAATACTGCACACCTTTTTCTCCTACCTCCTTATTCTCTCAGCCATCCTTGGCAGTATTCGTCAAACAGAGAGCGTTGGCCGGCCTCGCGATCCTTTCCGTTCGTCAGCACCACCACAAACGAAGCCTTTCCCTTTTTTGGTCGTTGTACCTGACCAAACCCGCAGCCAGGTTCACACGGCCCGAACACAATTCGGAGCGGTTTGATCCAACAAAGCGGGTGAACCCACCTCCCTCAAGCTAATGGCTACCGCTGACGGAGAAGACCTTCGCAACTTGAAGAAGGCCATCGTCGAATAATACATGCTTGAAGTAATGGCGAACGAGCAAGGTCGGGATGAATCTTTAGCGGGAGTAGGGTCGGATACATCCACCAGGTAAGCATTCTCCGATATCCTCTCTTACCTCTTCTCTTATCCGCACTTACTCGCCACCCTCTCCCTTCGGCATTCCTTCCATTACCCTTTCACCAACGTCCTATCTCCTCTCGCAAC